TGAGCGTCGATCATGCTCCCCGGGTTTGGGGCGTGACAGGCAACCCTTGTACGAATGCAATAGATCACCCCCGCTCGGGGACTGCCGTCATGGACAAGCCTGGATGTCTCGGGCTACGAAGCCTAGGAGCACAAAACCTATTAGGCAGTGCCCGAACTTCAAAGGCTACGGCCATCTCCATTTGGGGACTGTTGTCCCGGGCAAGCCCGGATGACTTGGGGTAATAAGCCCATTGGGCAACACCCGAATTTAAGAGGCTACGGCTATCCTAGAATGGCTCGGAGATATCTGATATACGTAACTAAAACATAAGGCCTTCAAAATTTTTAAACCGGTTCAAAGGCTATCCTCGACAAAATTATAATCTAAAAAATTATAAGTAAACACTTCAGGGAAAGCATCCGGTCATACCGAGCCCCCACGAGTCTTAAGCAAAATAATATCATGAACGAGCATTGTTCGAACCCCCGAACAAGATCTAATTATTACGTGTTAAGGAATTCAAAATATTTGCGATCATAAAGAAAGAAGCAAAAAGAAACAAGCTTGAAATTTGTGGAAGGGAAAAAGCCTTGTATATACGCATAAATGTTTACAAAAGCCTGACGGCCTCAACAAAATACAAAAGTAAAAAAGAAGAGGAAAATCAACAAGGCATCTAAGAAGCCCGATCTTCGCCGGAGACCGCCTCATCACCGGAACCGTCGGGGTCTTTCCCGTCCTCGGAGCCGCCCGAACCCTCGAAATCTTCTTCTTCCTTAGGGTACGCCAACTTCTTGGCCTCAGCCTCGAGCCTCTTAACATTTTCAATCTCGGCCGATAAATTGAACCCACGGGCATGAACTTCCTCGAGAATCTCCCTCCGGGACTGCCACCTCACATATTTGACGATGGTCTTCAAGCGTTCCTGAGCTGCCTCAGCATCAGCTTTATACTGGGTCACCATCTCTTCAGCATCGGCCCGTTATTTCCGTCACTGACTTGGCTGATTCAAGCTTCTTGGCAAGGGTATCCCATGCGGCAACGGTCGAGCCCAGCTAAGACTGGAGGTCTTCGATTTTTTGGGACTGGGTTTCAGCTTTTTCCTTCATCGATCGAAGTTGGGCCTCCGCCGAGGCCGGCTGCTCCCAAGCGGTCTCTTTTTTTGAAGCCAATCGGTCCATCTTGCCCTTCCACTTCTCGGCCATGGCCTTGGCTTCATCCATCACGGCCTGGAGATGGTCGACCCGATCAACCTTCTGCTGGACCTATGGATTCTAACCATTAGACACCGTATCTAGCTCATCGTTACTAACTTCAAAGATATTTACCTGTTCCAACAGCTCGGCATGTTCCTTCTGAGCCGCGTCCAACTTGGCTCGCAGGCTCTTGACTTCTCCTTCATGTTGCTCGCTGAGAAGCTTATACATGCCTTTTTTCTCAGCAAGCTCTTTGACTTCAGCCTCGAGTTGGCTCAGCTCATCCCCGTACCGGAGGAAGGTCTCGTGGTGGAGCACTGAGGCCTGCAAATACGAGAAACAACATTAGAATTATCAAACAATTAGTTCAAATATTAGAAGAGATATTATAATCATCGAGAATTATCAAGAATTACTCGGTTCAGAGCCTGTTGTGCTTTGTTGAACAGGCATGGCGCGTCTACCTCGTTCATTCTGGCCCGGTCTTCTTCGGTTACCTGACACCGGAGGTAACTGGCTATCCCTATAGGGGCGAAAAGGATCCTTGCTCGGAGCGGGGAACCGATTGGTTAATTTCGGGCTCGAGCCCGACTCGCCTGCCCCCGAAGGTGGACTTTTCTTCGGCACCTCTAAGTCACCCAACCCGGTAAACTCCTCCGGGGCGGATGAGTATATACCGTCAAAAAAGCCTCGAAGGGGATCATCCGCTCCATGGACCTCCTCATAGGACCGCTCATTCGTCGTCCGGGCTTCATCGAACATTGATTCTTTGAACGAAGGCGATCCCGAAATATCTGTAACGCCGGGCGGGGCAGGACTGGCATCTCACGAGTCCTTGTCCCTTACCTCGGCATCAGCCTCGCGAACTTAAGAAGGATTAGCTTCAGTCATTTCCCCCTCGGCTGCCACCCATTCCTCGGGGACAGATGGCTCATGGGCCATGAAGATGTCATCCTCCTCGGGCTCGTCTCTGAGCCGGAGGAGTAATTTCGAGCCAAGCACTCGGGAGTTGGAGGTTTCCTTTCGCTTACGAACCAGGCTCCTTCTCGTTTTCTCTTTCTCCGAGCTCGTTGAACTCGGGGCCCTTTTTCTTTTCTTCTCCCATGTTATGGTTCCGGGCTGTCCCGAAGCGAAAGAACCTGCCCGAGGGCCTAAGCTCGACGGTCTTAGGCAAACCTACAAAAGGGAAATAAAGGAAAAATAATAAGAACGTAATGTTGAGAGGAGAAGCCTAACACAACCTGTTCGGGAAAAAGAATCTTACCATGGGAACGGGCCTCCCAACGGCCCTTCGAGAGTTTGCGCCATGAGCGCTTGGAGTAGGACATCTGTGAGACAATACCTTTGACCCACTCCTTGAGTCGAAGGACATCATTTTGGACTCGAGCGACAGCTACACCATTATGAATACCAATGAGAAAATAAGAGATGAACACGAAATGAACATTCAAGGGAAAGTTTTACTTACGTGATGAGGTCCTCTTCGGTGATAGAGCAAATGTATCTCGAGGCATCCTCATACCGACCTTGTACCGAAGAAGGCTTCTCGACCTTGAAGTCGTCAGTGATCGAACAACCTCCTGGAATGAACATCTTCAATGGAGGTTCAGGAGCCGGTTCATCAATAGCCACATTAGCAGTAGGTCTCCCAAGGTCGACCACATCGAAAGTAGTTTCGGCAGTCGTTTGGAAAGTAGAAGCGACCTTTTGGGGAACGGATTTTGAGGTTTTTGCCATTGTTATAGGGGAAAGCTTGAAAGAGATAGAGAAAGGTTGAAAGTTGGAAGCTCAGATGTGTTGGCTAGAGTAGATGATGAGTAAAAATTTCAAAGGAATCTTGAACAACGGAGGTAAAAATGCTAGAACGTGAAAAAGAATAGTGAAATCCCGAGAGTACGAGGGTAGACGGTTTAATGTAAAGCAAAAAATGAACGAAAGAGGGGTTATTTATAGTGGTTCAGTGATGTTTTGCCTCCAGGAACAGCCGGTCGGCGTCTGACGTGCATTTAATGCCCCTATGACATGACTGACGAGACATTTCGAGCTTTTTGTCGTTTACGACACAATGTATTGGAGAAGGAATTAGGATGCTCATGTCGTTTCTCGTCAGCTTGCTTTTCGAGAAACGAGAAGACTATCTGTATACGGGTAAAAATCGGGCTAATGATACACTCCGGCCTCCATTAGGGTAAAACGGGCTCGAAGATGATTGCGAAGGATCGTGATCGAAGTAAAGGTCTCATCGAGTAAGAATCCGGGGGCAGGTTGTCTGCCTTCGAAAATATCAGGGTCATGAGTCGAGATCAATCCAAATCCTAGAAGACTTTGGGTAATCGAATACGACCAACAGAAGGCCATGATATCTGTGACCGGCCGAATATCACGGAGTGGATCACGACACGTGTCGATGAAGAACCGGCAATCAGTTAAACAGAAGATTTTTTACCTTTTACAGAGTTGTACTTAGAGTAGGATTCCCCTACTATATAAACGGGAGCCTGATAATTCATTAGACGGGATAACACGCATTCCAAAGTAATATATTATTATTTTCACTGTTATTTTAAGCTTTTTCTCTCGTTCATCAAAATTATCCACTGTGAGCCTGGATCGAGGGTGAATGCTTCACCAAGGCTGGAATCATCCCCCTCGCGTGGTTTGAAATTATTGTATCTTTACTTGTCCATTCTAACTCGATTTATCATTTTGTATCAAATTAATCAATATATCCTTAAAATCATATACAAATTTAATTGTTATCCGATTTTGAGGGTAAACAAACGTCATATAAATTGGGAGGGAAGGAGTATTACTTTTTATTTTGTTTTACGCAGCAATTAAGAATCTGGAGTAATGCACTTAGCAGGAAGGCACCATCAAAAAGGAAGTTTTTTCTTCTTTACTTTGGCCAATTAGGTGCTATAACAAAGACTCTTAACTTGATAAACTGAAGGAAGCAACCTTTGGATTTTGAAAACATTGGACCACTCTCTTGTTTTTCAGGCTGTCGTACATCTTTAGTTTGAAATTTCACTTTCTTCCCCTTTCACCAACCAGTCCTGTAAATTCAACATTTTTAGCTAACTCTGTCCCCTTACGAATATACACCTAACTTGCTGTTGCCAGTAAATAACAATCACCAATGTTACCAACCGATTTGAAATATGGCATGGAATGTCTCTTTAATTTGGACTCTACAATTACAAAATCCTTTGCACCGGAAACTGGGCCATTCTTAGAATTCCTGCTTCACTGCGTCTTTAAATCCTTTTTTGGTTTCATTCATGATACAGTGTTATTACTATGCTTAAAGTTAAAGGAAAATCTGCATCGAGTTTACAGAACCATTATTGAGCATAATAAGTGGAATCTGAAAATAACGAAGCCTTTTCTAGGTTCTAAAGAAGGGACAGTTGATCTTGCAAAGATCATGTTCTTATTCTTATGCTCCCCAAGATAGATTATTGTCAATAAAAGCATGTGTACGTACGTATGTGCTTTTTCCCTTCCCTCTTTCTCATAATTTAGTTTTTAATATATGATCCTTTTCCTTTTGCAGTCAATGGCCTCTTTTCGTTTTTCCTTTTCCCCCTTTTAGCAAGAGGTCTTCTGAAGCTAACAGTACAAAATGAAAAATAATGTACTTCAAGGGGAACAAATTTAAATTCAAAACTAAATTTTTCACTAGGTCTTGGATTGAGTACATAGTAAAACATGCCAACTCTCTCCAAATTTGTATTTTTCACTTTGACATGCCAGTTTTCCCTCTTCTTTTTTCCCCCATCCTTTTCCCCTTTTTGGGCGTCTCTTGTTTCGTCGATGTATATATAGTGAGATAATGTCTAAGAAAGGCGAAATTTGAGCCAAAAACAACCTACTACTTTTGAACTGGTTAATTATTTCGAATTAGTACTAAGGGAAAAAAGAAAAGTCTAATCTAATGTCATGTATTTTCTTCTAATCAAAGTGGTAAAACTATTGCAGCTGCTACTATCTTCATGCTCATCTGATTCATTAGTAGACAGCTCAGTGATCCCACTGGAGCCAGACACTGATGAAGAACACGGTACCCTATGCAAGTCCCTCCTCATAAAATCGTAAAAAACTAGCTTACTATTTGCACCTGCTCTACAACTAGTTGTATTCAACATATGTGTCATGTTCTCGTCTTCATTCTTACTGCCTCCTCTCTTCAAGAATATTCGGCAGAGAACCCAATTTTCCTGCAGTAAATGAATTCACATGTTAATACCCATGTCCAAGAACTATATATCAATCAATCAACAAGTTTGAGTTCACCTGGGTAGGAATCTTTTTGGGTTCAAGATTGGCGAGGCGATATTCGTGCATAATCCAATCAGTTCTGCAACCATGGAGAGGCTTTCCTTTGTAGAAGACAAGAGTTTTCTTCATGCCAACAAGTTGTTGTTGTTTGCCTCTGGAACTCACAATTTGCTTGTCAAGTCCAGTTGCCTTCCAATACCCTGAGTTGGTTGCTCTGTTGGACCTGTTCCCCTTTGGATGCTTCTCCTCCCTTGTGCTAAAGAAGTACCTTTCTTGCTCCAAATCACCTGAATATATTCAATTTCACAAAAATCACAAACTTTACGTAATCTTTTAATTCTTTTGCTGCTTCTTAGCCAGTGGAGTAGTATACTTAAAATATCAAATTGTTAGTAAAGTTAATTCGTTTTAAGGTTGATGGGAGGAATTTGCAAATGGACAATGCGAACCAACCTGGTAAATCCCAAGGATCAGATTTGTGAACGTCCATGTCAGGGATGATAGAGGCTGGCAAAGGGAAAGAGAAGACCTTGCGCTTTAAATACTGAAACACAAGTTCTTCATCAGTTGGATGAAACCTGAATCCAGGGGGCAATCTCAGCGCTCCAATTTTCACAAAATGAAGCTTTTCCATACCCATAACAGAATTAACTCAAAGTGTGTCCTTTGCAAGTTATACAAAAAGGGAACACAGACAAAGAGCAAGAACAAGAGGGAACAATAAAAACGATAAGAACAGAGAGAGAGAGACGCAGCTAGTGGGGGTGGATTATTGAGAGGGAAAGTGGATTATTGAGAGGGAAAGTGGCTTCTTTATAGTAAAATAATGGGGATGTTGAACAAGGCAGAGTGGGACTTTGTAATTTTATTAAAAAGACAAGGGAATAGAATAAGGACGAGCTAATTTGCTTAAAATAGACTGCAATCTCCTTTGCTTTGACGCATCTCTTTCCAATTTTAAAACAACCCCCACAAAAAGAAAAAAAGGGAAAAAGAAATTAGAACTTGTGAGACGGTAAAGAAGAGAGGGTGGGTGGTTGTACAAGTGCATGCCTTGTTTCTCTTCGGAAAGGTTAAAACTTTTTTGCCAGAAAAAATAGAAAAAGGCTGTGTCTTTACAGTTAGACATAACGAAAACAGCTAAAACTAAGCTTAGTTGTCAACGGAAAAACCGTAGCTGTTAAGACCAAACCTCAACCTATTCTTCCCCTGCAAAATTTGCACTTTTATGTTGGATTATTTAAATGTCTGGAGTTTTGTTTGCCTCCCTATTTTACACTCTTTTGGACTGATATTTTCAAAGTAGTTTTTAATCCGTTAGAGTAGCAGACGTCGCATTACTCTTATATTGGATTATCTATTTAGCTCAGATGGTGAGTCGTCACTTGGCATATAATCTCGGTGTGCCAAGTCATCATTTAAAAGCAATTTTCCCTTAAAATACATATTTGACTCTAAACCAGTTTGCACCAGAGATTCCGAGTAAGGGGGTTCATTTAACTCGGGGAGAAGGTGTTAGGCATTCCCCGAGTCCCGTGAAAGTCACGGTTGCGTACTTGATCCAGTTGGCTTTAAAGAATACTCAAATTGAGGCAAAACAAATGAAAGAAAAATAAACACATAAGAGACTCGAGGTCGTCCCCACCAAAATAAAAAAAATATGAGGAAAATACCAAAAGTCTATACTATGCTCACTCCACGATGTCCGTCACATCCTCCAATTACATTCACTACAGGGCATACCCCGGATAAAAATATATATAAAATTCACGAGGCATTTTGCCAAGTATAAACTAAAGGGAACGATCTCTCACCTCAAATAAAAACTGAAATAAATGACCTAATATTTGCCTACCCAAGTGTGATCGGCCTAAACATGCTACTAGCGAATAATATAACAAAATAAATAAATAAATAAAAGGGAACTTCTAAATCATGCTCAAATTCTCTTGACCTTTTATTTTTATGAATTTGGCCAAGCTCAATTCCTAAGGAATGTAAACAATTTAATCACTAATGAGCTCGGCCTGTCCCCAATACCAGCAAATCAAGAATATTATACTTCTAAAAGATCATCACTCAATGGTCCTAACAAACAAGGACTTCCAAAAAAAATGAACCAAAAGAAAAGACGAGAAAGAGAGGTAAAAGAGTGATAGAAAAGTTTTGCACTTATAATATGAATATTAGCGTAATACTAGCAAACCTACTGAAGCCAAAATGACGTAACTAGTCCACACAGCCAGCAAAACATCAAGAAATTGACCAAACAATTTAATAAAGTTTTGAAAAATTAGGAGAAAAAAAAAGATTTTAAACAACCTGTTATACGAACTTCCTAATCACTCATGCACAAATATGTAAGCACCATATTTCTCTAATATAAAGGACACACTAAATCTATGAGAATACCAAAATTTAGACGGTTTTACATGATTTAAGAACTTTCAATTTTTACGTCATAGAATAAAACTGACACTCAATTTCTATTTTAATTTATTGAGCAAATTTTAAAATCCTAAACCCATTTCACTCGGCCATTATCATAAATTAATTTCAAGCATTAAACGAACATATGAGAAAGGATGAAGATATGGAACTTAAATAGAAGATTCCTTTAAAATAACTCTATTTGGGCGAAATGTTTTGGATGACAGAAATCAACAACCAAACAGAGCACTCACAAAATTAATTAACAAAGCAGTATCAACAAGAAATCGCACACATAAAGTTAAAGAGGGTAAACAAATAGAGAAGAGATAAGAATGGACCTCAAGTGAGCAAACTACTTTTAATATATGAATTTGATTACATCTAACTCCGGCAAATCAAATCTGAACTGTAAAGATGAAATAGAAATGGATTGACGGGAACTCGAATGAACCAAACTCGAACAGCGCCTCAACTCATTCGACTTCCATATTTGGAATCCATGATCGAAGGAAGGGACTGGAATTTTGTTGTCTTATTTTTTTTCGAAAATTGGAATCAAAACAGAAATATTTCATATGCAATTTTTCTAGATTCAAGAGGAAAATTAAGAAAACTAAACTGAATTTTTTTTTTGTTTTTCTGGAATTCAAGAGGAAAATCGACAAGTAAACTGAATTTTTTTTTTTTTTTTTTTTTTTTGTTTTGAAACTCCAAGAAGAGAAACCTTAAAACTTTTCTTTTTCTCTTTTCTCCAAAATTCTGTCTCTCTCCCTCTAAAAAATCTGTGTGCAGGTGAATGTATCCGTGCCCTTGTACTTGAAGAGGAAGAAAGAAATCTGCTAGCAAAAAGCCCCTATGAAAGAAAAATAAATGCTAGAACTAAAATTGGTACCCCTTTTCAATCGTGAGTATGCACTATATGGTGAAAAATTTTTGTGGGTGGTGAGGGCACTAATTGAAATGGAAAGACCACCTAAAATTTGGTATACAAAAAGACAAAATTCAAAAAGTTGTTTATAAAAAAATTAAAAGTTAAAATAAATTCCCAAAAGGGTCTTACATTGGATTGTTGAAGAACTCATTTCTTTCTTTCCAATATTTGTCTTTGTGTTTGTTTTGTTTTCTATTATTGATAAAATACAACTAGCTATACAAAATACTATTTATATATAGTAACTAACATTAAAAAGAGAAATAAAATAATTATATTAGAAAAATCTAAATACTACTCGATATTTACTAAATACTTATAACTTAAAATCACACTAAATCAAGTAAAATATTTTTTGAAACTTTTCTTTTTATATTTTTGTAAAAATAAAATAAAACTAATTAGACATACTATTAATAATATAAAACAAAGGTAAATATTTTTGTAGTTTTTAATTTTTAACATAAAATAAAGCAAAAATGAATTAAAAGTTAAAATAGCAAATCAGACATAAAACCGACATCTAAGCACTAAAAAGGTATAAAATCTCAGGGAGAGTCAAAAATTACATGTCTACAGCTACTCCTCTTTGATTGGAAACACGAAGTGGTTTTAGAGAAAGAAAAGACAAGATGAGTTCTTGACCCGACCTTTATTTAAAAGAGAATAAAACTAAAAGAAAGGAGAATGTGACCGAGCCCTGGTATCTGAGCTGCCTACATATCCTTGTCTATAAAGGAATCAGGTCACGTGTAGTTCAGAAATAGAAAAGTAAATAAAAAAGATTATCGAGGTGGAGAGTTGAGTGAAGTGCCGTCGAGGTTCCGGTTCGCGGTTCCTGCCATCACATCAGAAAATGAAAAATCAAATAAAATAAAAATTACAAGAAAAACTATAAAATCTTATCTACTGTTTTGTCTTGAATCTTCTATAGTCTTGTTGTGCATCTCGAACTATTGACTCGCATTCTCGAGGCGAGCTTCTGCTACTTCTAACTTGAATTGACCCTATTCTTCAAGCGGGCTCCTGTTGTTGATTTGAAGTTAACTCTGAAATGAATTCCCTCGTTCTCCACGTGGACGCCTGCTACTGACTTGAAACTTGAAATGAATTCCCTCATTCTCCAGGTGGGCGCCTGCTGCTAACTTAAAACTTGTAATAACTCTGAAATGAATTCCCTCGTTCTCTAGGTGGGCGCCTGCTACTAATGCCGAAACTTGAAATAAACTCTGAAATAAATTCACTCGTTCTCCAGGTGGGCGCCTGCTACTGACTTGAAATTTGAAATGAATTCCCTCGTTCTCTAGGTGGGCGCCTGCTACTAACTTGAAACTTGAAATAAATTCCCTCATTCTCCAGGTGGGTGCCTGTAATCACAACAAAACAGACAAAACAAAGAAAATTTTCTACCCCCAGTTTGTACCAGGAACATTTGTGAGTGTTAGTTGAATCCCATTATCCAGGAAGGTCCTGAAAGCTTAAAACTAAATCTCATTATCCAGGAGGGTCCTGAAAACTTGAAACTAAATCCCATTATCCAGGATGGTCCTGAAAACTAAAAACTAAATTCCATTATCTAGGAGGGTCCTGAAAACTTAAAAACTAAATCCCATTATCCAGGAGGGTCCTGAAAACTTAAAACAAAATCCCATTATCCAGGAGGGACCTGAAAGCTTAAAACTAAATTCCATTATCCAACAGGGTCCTGAAAACTTAAAACTAAATCCCATTATCCATGAGGGTCCTAAAAACTCAAAAATAACTAAATCCCATTATCCATGAGGGTCCTAAAAACTCAAAAATAACTAAATCCCATTATCCAGGAAGGTCCTGAAAACATAAAACTAAATCTCATTATTCATGAGGGTCCTGAAAACGTTAAAAAAAAAAACTAAATTCCATTATCCGGGAGGGTCCTGAAAACTTAAAACTAAATTCCATTATCCAGGAGGGTCCTGAAAACTTTTAAAAAAAAACTAAATCCCACTATCCAAGAGCGTCCTCAATACTTAAAACTAAATTCCATTATCCAGGAGGGTCCTGAAAACTTAAAACTAAATCCTATTATCCAGGAGGGTCCTGAAAATTTAAAAGCTAAATTCCATTATCCAGGAGGGTCCTGAAAACTTAAAACTAAATCCTATTATCCAGGAGGGTCCTGAAAATTTAAAAGCTAAATTCCATTATCCAGGAGGGTCTTGAAGACTAAAATTAAATCTCATTATCCAGAAGGGTCCTGAAAACTTAAAACTAAATCCCATTATCCAGGAGGGCCCTGAAAACGTAAAATCAAATCTCATTATCCAGGAGGGTCCTGAAAATTTAAAAGCTAAATCCCATTATTCATGAGGGTCCTGAAGACTAAAATTAAATCCCATTATCCAGAAGGATCCTGAAAATATAAAATTAGATTTTATTATCCAGGAGGGTCCTGAAAACATAAACTAGATTCCATTATCCAGGAGGGTTCCTAAAGAATCAAAAATGAACTTACATGAAACATGTTTTCCTCATGGAGGATCTCTGCAGAACGAACAAAATTTTTTGCTCCTATTTTAAACAAAGAAAATCTTGTTAGTTTGAAAAGATGGTGTTTAATTTGTGGCATCGTTGCTGAAGGTGTCCACTTGTGCCACTGTCATGCTTTATTTGATTGGCTGCTTCGAGCTGACAAGGACTCGTTTGACCTTCTAATCGAACCTCGACCACCAAAACTCTGAATGACCCGAGTTGCTTACACTCACTTGTTGCATTGTATTTTCATTCTGACAATTGTTGAGCCTTTGTATTTTCCAAAATTCAAGAATTACTTGATTGCCTAAACTTCAGTTATCACTACATTGCTCCTTCTGTATAATGTCATTTGTGATGTGCTTGGCCGAACTTCACATTGTGCAATCAAAAAGCTGGTAGTAGGATTTGAAATCTTTTCTTGCTTGTGTAACAAAGACTAACTTGAAAGAGGCTCGGAAAAATAGAACCAAAACAACAAAGCGAAGTGACTTTGAGAATTAGGAATAAAAAAGGAAAATTTCAAACAAAGATGACTATTTGAAGAAGAGTGGAAAAGAGAATTATCTGAGTAAAGCAACTGGATCCAATGATCATGACATGCATTTTGGATTGATCAGCCTAATCCGTCCAACCAATCACACTTTCAGTTCATGTCATGTCTTCATACTTCAAAACCGGGCCTTCATGATCTAACTTCTCTGTAAAGTCATAAACCTCATTTGACTTGTAGTGCCCCAAAGGGTTTTTACCAACAAGCCTCTCCCATTTGTTCATCTCATAACTCACTGTCGCCTTACAATGCCCGCGAGGATTTTCACCAATAAGACTCTCTTATTTTATTTATTTTTGTTCCCATGAACAAAGTGCCACCCATGATGTAAGAAAATCATACCTCTATCTCATGCTTTATTTGGCATCCTCAAAGATTGATCGGAAGGTCTTTCGTTGGACCGTAATGTAGGCTTTTGGTCAAGGTTAGGAAGAAAGGATGGCATGAAGGCTCAAAATAATTTAAAATGAAAGGGTTTAGAATTACAACTTTTGGAATAAGATCTTTTGCCAAAACTAAAACTTTTTATCCCAGTTTCTTTGAGTCTCGGGAATTTAAGATTTTTATTTTGATGGGACCGAACCTCAGAGTAAGGCTGCCTACGTATCCTTAAAAGGAATCAGGTCAAACATAGTTCCAACCTCAATTCATTTTTTTTTCTTTTTTTTTCTTTCTCTTTCTTTTAGTTTCTTTTCTCTTTTTTCTATTTTCTAACTCTATTTTCTGATTCCAAAACAGGGGTATGAAAGAAAATCAATTAAGGCTCAAAAGGGGTAGCAAAGGATAAAAGTGTGTGGGTAGCTGAATAAAACGCCTTCGTCATACCAAACTTTGGAAATGCCAAGTATAAGACATGTAATTAAAGATGAGCTGAGAAATCATACATAGTATCTTTTGACTGCATCAGAATTGATAGCCATATCCACAACTTCTATGTCTGTTAAATACAAAGCGCAATTGGGCAGCACTCTTGTCACAGTGAACGGCCCCTGCCAGTTTGGGGTGAATTTGCCTTTAGCTTGAGCTTAATGTGGAAGGATGCGTTTCAATACTAGCTGGCCCACTTCAAATTTTCGGGGACGCACCTTCTTGTTGTATGCTCTTGCCATTCTCTTCTGATACAATTGACCATGACATAGTGATGCCAATCTTTTCTCATCAATTAAATTCAACTGCTCCAAACGGGTTTTGACCAAACGGGTTTTGACCCACTCATCATCATCAATTTTAGCTTCCGCAACAATCCGAAGGGATGGAATCTCAACCTCCGCAGGTATAACTACCTCAGTTCCATGTACCAACAAATAAGGAGTTGCACCTACTGAAGTGCCAAC